GTGGTAGTGCTGTTTTGGGATTTGATTCAGCCTTAGCATGAATATATTACCAAGGCAAGTAGGAATAACTACACATGGTCCCTGACTGACCATGGTTCAACTTTATGACAGGTTTATCAGGGTATTAAATGAATGTCTTGTAACAATGGGTTTATTAGGACACAGCCCTAGTGCAAGTTGAGGAGCATCTGTAGTTTGCCTGAGCTATCTGCCAGGCTTTAGTCAGGAAACACCCATGGGACATGGTTTAATAGAAGGACTTTAACATGGGAAACTAGTAACTAAAAGGTATTGGGAGAGCAGGGAGGCAACTCAGATAAGTAATAGTGCTTGAGGATGAAAGGGGGAGGTGATATTACCACAGTCCAGGAGCCAGGGCCACCTGGAGGAGCTGGACTGGTATAAGGGGACCTCCCTGACAAGAGCTAGGATGATAAGGTGTGTGGAGGTGGAACACAGGAGGTATAGCCACTACCAGCATCACCATCCAAAACACAATGTGGAAGAGAAATACACCAATTTCTCCCCAACCCTTACCTTCCAACTCTCTCCTAGTGCCTCCTGCTGAGCGACAATTACAGGAAACCAGTGGGCAGTGAACTCTGGGAAATGTAACCTGCACAGGTTAAACACCTGAAACATATTATACAGCACGAAAATGGTAGAGACTGCATCTTAGAGAAACAGACAAATGACTGACATGTGATCCTGCAGAACCTACTAGGTAAGCTAGAATTGGGCAAGAGTCGCCCCATAATCCTCCAGAATGACTGCACTAGAAGTCTACATTCCCTAGAGTTTTTCCAGAGTTTCCCTTCCTCAGCATGCACTTACCTTGGTTATAGTTCTTTTGAGCATCCTAAGAAAGGTCACAGTGGTGTTTTTCCCACAGGAAGGTCATTCCTCAGAAGCACATGATACCTGTCCACACACCCAGGTCTACAAACAGAGTAAAAGCAACTTCAAGCATGGTGATAACTGGCTGAAGGGCTCTCTAACTCGAAGTGAAACTTTAGCGGTTGACAAATGATTTCATTTCCAGAAACTTACTACTAATCACAGTCAGACATTGTTTTCTGTCACACCATCAGTGGTGTGCTGGCAAATTCTTGATATCCAGCTCCCCAAGGGAAAGATGTTTGCCATACTTTCATGAGTTTATTTCAAATTTTACTGATATATATATATTATATGAATATATTTATACACACACTAAATTTGACAACTGATTCACAATATTCCTGAAAATATATCAGCTCTTGCAAGTCAGTATGACCCTTCCCAAGCACACCACTGAATTGACTACTTTGCTTCTGGCAAGTTGCTGCTACCTGGGGTTCAGCTGCCTCGGGCTCCTCCATTTCCTGGAGACCAGAAACAACTTTCCAAAAGCAGTGTGCCCAGCATCCTAAGGATGATGAGTAAGTACTTTCTGAAGGTAAAGATGCTTCTCCCATAGCACAGGTTCAATAAAAGGATCTTTCGCTGTTTTAAGCCCACATTCCCAGATATTGATAAAGGCACCCAGGTGTCTTCTGGGGACAACTCCAGCCTTGGGTTCAGGGATACGACCTGGCAGGAACATGAATCTGGTTAGGTCTAGGTAGTCGAGCATCAGAAACTAATATGTCACGGCCAAAGGATGACTCATATTCAACTCCCTCCTGTCTCAAGAAGTACCTAATTTGAGTTAAATGAGCCATATACCACACACAAAAGATAGTATGAATCAGCTATCAGCATTTTTTTAAACCTTATAAAGTTTGTGTAGTTCTATGTGAGCATGTTATATAGTTATGAAAATTACATTTTCAGTTCATAAGCTGCAAGACAATTTTGAGTATATAGAGATCCATTTCATTCTTTTCAGTAATTGCATAGTGATCTAAGAAACTGATATTCCATGACTTAAGTAATCTTTTTACTAGTTCTAGACATTTACGTTGTTCCAATTTTTTCACAATTCTATAATAAACATGCTTATGCATCTATTTTTTGCACTTATGCTTTTTGAGACTATAAACTCCTAGATGTAGAATCATAGCAAAGGGTTATGTTAGGGTACAGATAGGGTGAGGGTGGATGGATGTGGATGGGGGGGCGGGGTGCAGCATCCCTGGAACTGGCATGCCGGAGGTGCACGCTGACACCCAGAGATTCGAGTAATGCAAAGAATTGCAACACACAAAGGGGTGAAACAAAAAAGATTTATTTAAGAAAAGTTCACTTCCCACAGACAGAAGTGGGCCTACACTCTAGAGTGTGGCCCCACAGCCCCCCCAAGCCCTGGCTTAAATCCTTTCCCTTGAAGATGTTGCAGTCAGGTAGACGTGACTGCCGTGACTTCCTTATCGACCATCTGTGAATGTCTTGGAGACCCTGTGACACAGAGACCCATTAATGTCTGTCCATCTTATCATAACCCCTAGAGAAGGGCGTGACAAGGATTCTAGTACTCCTGTACATTCCTGAACGACATTCCTTAGAGCTAATGGAGGGTGCACTTCCCCTTATCACCTATGCATTCCCAGTGGGTACCTTTGGGGATCTTCGACTTCCCTGTAGATAGCACCCAGTCTACTGGAAGATCCAATCCCCCCCTGCTCCCCCTCTAAGCAGTCACAAGTCCTGTGATCTACATAACTCTTGTAATTACAAGTTTCGTGACTTCTACAATCCTTGCCCAATGCATGATGTCTTTAGGCCTTGTAAACTCCCTTTACACTAGGCAAGCTTGACTGTCGCTTCTGCCAGGTCCCATCGACGAGAGCTATGAGACACCTCCGATGTCTGGCACCAGGAAGTCTGGACAGAAAACCCTGGAGTATACAGTGGGTTGATACTGGTCATGCTTAAGGAGTCTGTGTTTCTGAAAAGAAATCAGCAAAGTTAACCATTACCTAAAGTATGCATTTCCCCAAAACATAGCTTCTACTTTTTCCCTCATCGTGTCAGGGTTTAAGAACAAGATAGAAAAATGGCTTCCCACTCCCGGTCTGTCCTTTCAGGTTATACTCAAAATGCTGATAGCTAACACTACATTGCCCATTCACCACATTGTGAGGTTCAGAACTTCTATTTCATGTGACTTTTAATTACTTCAGCCAATAATTGTTTGTTGATAATGCTTTGCCAGACTGTGTATCTTATCCTATGGCATTTTTTATAAGGACTATATCCTTTGTAATGTATAAGATATATATAACTTTTAACTTTGAATACAGTATCTCATACCAAGAAAAGGGTTCAAATTTTGTACATGGTCCTGTCATTCATTCTTCATGGCCTCCATGAAGTTTGACTGCATCTCGCTTATGAAAGACTTCCTGAACTTAAAGGCACAGAAATATTCTTCTCACCTACCAACACTGTTTTCTATTATGTCTATAATATGTATAGAAAGACCTTCTCTGTAAGGAATGAAATGCAAAGCTGACTTTATTTCCAGTTGGATTTAAATAATCCATCTCTTCCAATGATATGTCAAAAATACCACTTCTGCAATATATTAAACTCAAGGGTATATGACTTTTTCCAAGAATTTCCTTGTGATGCTTGCCTAATTAGCACTCTACATGACCTTCAGAACAAAACTGTCAATGTAAAAATAACCTACAGTACTTACAATATTGAAATGCCCATTTAGGAACATGTTATGGATCTTCATTTATTCAGCGCCTCTATACTCCATCAGCAGAGTTTAATAATTTTCTTTTTACATGTAACTATGAGTAAATTCATCTGTAATATTATTTTTTCCCTTGTTTTGATATCCGAGTTGACTGAGCTTCATGAAAGAAGGAGAACTTTAAAATTTTTTTTTAATTTTTAAATCAATATTTTTTATTTTAATATTGTGGGGTACAGTTAAGGGTTAGGTATACAAATATGCTTCATTCGGGCAACCTTGTGGATAAGGGGTGTCTCCCCATCCGAAGTAGAACACTCTAAATTTTTATCCTAAATCCAGAACAACCGAATTAGAAGATCCTCAGAAGGTTAGAAAGATTGAACTCATCATCTTAAAATAGGACTATATTACTCAGTTCTCTATTTCTGCAGTTAAACCTTAGTAACTTGTTTTTGCCTTGACTAACTACAATCTTATATATAATCTCCCCAGCAAATTCTAATTCCTTTGTTCCAGTCTTACCCAGAGCTCTAGCCACTTCCTAAAACATGTGCTATATATAAGGTTACATTTAATTTCTTTCCTCACCAACAAGGGAACATAGTCTTAGAGTCATGAGAGAGCTACTATATTGTTTCGTTATGATATTAAACATACTACATGGGCTAACGACCAGCCATCTTAAAATACTATTTCAAATTAGGTTTGGTGGCAAGTGCCTATAATCCCAGCTACTTGGAAGGCTAAGCCAGGAGGATTGCTTGAACCCAGGAGTTCAAGACCAGCTTAGGCAAAATAGCAAGACTCTCATCTCAAGAAAACATTGAAAAATTTTAAAAAGATACTGTTTCTTTTTTAATCATCTGGTTGTAATCATCTGGTACTGATATACTATATACTCCTTTCAAGAGTTTACTGCCAAAATTGTTGTAATCATCTGGTACTGGTACTGATATACTATATACTCCTTTCAAGAGTTACTGCCAAAAGATAATTTAATTTCACTCTGAAAAATACTGATCTAACATTTACCAAACACTTAGTATGGGTCATTTTGCTAAACACTTTATGTGCATCAAGTATTTTAACATGGATTTGAAAAAAAGCAATTCATTTGCATTTTTGAAAGATCACTGTGGCTGTAATGTGAACTTCAAGGGGACAAAAGAAGATGCAGGAAAACAGTTTTAGATGTTTGAAACATAGGTAAAATGACTGTTTTGGATTAGGAACCAAAAGAAGCAAGTGAATTACAAAAACATTTAGCAGGTGTAACCACAGGACTTGGTGATGTAGTTGGTGAGGAAGAGCTGGATGCTTAAGATGAACTCACTGTTGAGCAAAGTGTGAGTTTTGTGTGAAGATGTTTCCACATTCTTTACATTCTTAAGATCTCTCTACAGCATGAAGTCTTCCAGGTAGATTGAAGTATCCAATATGGTTGAAAGTTTTGCTACATTTCTTACATTTATATGGTTTTTATCCAAAGTGAATAGTAAGAGGTTGATGATAGCTAAAGGCTTTGCCACATGCACTACCTTCTTAGGGTTTTTCTCCAGTATGACCTTTTTGATGATAAATTAAGGATAACTTTCTTCTGAATGCCTTCCCACATTTAAAACATTGATAGGGCCTTTGCCAGTGTGAAGTCTTTGATGCTGAGCACAGGAAGAGCCATCACCAAAAGCCTTTCCACATTCAGTACATTTACAGGGCTTCTCTACAGTATGAATTCTCTGATGAGTAGACAGCCGTGAACTAGTTCTAAAAGTTTTCCCACATTCTTTACAGTCATAGGGCTTTTCACCAGTATGAATTCTCAAATGTGTAACAAGGTGTATATTTTGCCTAAAGGTTTTCCCACATTCTGTACATTCATATGGTTTCTCTCCAGAATGTACTCTTTGATGCCGAGTGAGTGACTCATGATAGCTAAAGTCTTTCCCACAAACATCACATTCATAGGGTTTCTCTCCTGTGTGAATTCTCTGATGTACAGTAAGGGATGAACCAGAGCTGAAGGTTTTTCCACAGATATCACATTTGTAAGGTTTCTCTCCAGTATGGATTCTCCTATGCCGAGTAAGTCCTGTGTGACCACTGAAAGCTTTCCCACAATCAAGACAATTAAAAGGCTTCTCCCCAGTATGATAGCTCCTCCAGTGATGAATAAGAGATGCATTATACCTGAAAGCTTTTCCACACTCAATACATTCATAGGGTCTTTTGCCAGTGTGACATCTCTGATGTCGAGCAAAAGATGACCTATCACTGAAGGCTTTGCCACATTCCTCACATTCATAGGGTTTCTCTCCAGTATGAATTCTCTGATGCTGTGCAAGGTGTGCAAGCTGTCTGAAGGCTTTTCTACATTCCTCACATTTATATGGTTTTTCTTCAGTGTGAATTCTTTGATGTTGAATAAGGTGTTCACTTTGTTTAAAGGTTTTCCTACATTCTTTACATTCAAAGAGTTTCTCTCCAGTGTGTGTTCTATGATGTTGAGTAAGTTGTTGTCTCTGCCTAAAGGCTTTTCCACATTCCTCACATTCATAAGGTTTTTCACCAGTATGAATTCTATGATGAACAATAAGAGATGAGCTGTGGGTGAAGGTTTTGTCACATTTATTACATTTAAAAAGTTTCCTTCCTGCATAGACTTTCTTGTGTTTTATTACCACAGAATTTTTGGAGAAGCTTTTTTTATCTGACTTGTGATTATAAACACTCTCTTCTACATTGTCCAAATGGACTAATTTCCCAGATTTGTTATATTTGAAATCTACTTTCTTAGTGAGGATTTCTTTATGAGTGATTGTTTGTTGCCTGCTAAATATCTCTTGACTTCCCATCTGACTCTCAAAAAGGTCTTCCCATTTCCAATTCTCTCCAAAAGTGGAACACTCAGGGCCACAGCTTGTAATTCTCTCCATGCATGTATCATCATATAAGAACTGCTTCAGGGGCAATTCTTGTGTCTCATATATAGACTCCCGATCTGAAAGATATCAAAAAAGCAAATGTTTCCTTCATCATGAGCTACAACAAAGGAGACATTGTGAAAAAGGTAATTCAAAAATGTTCAATGACTCCCACAAAATCTATTATGTACAGGCAGGTCAACTAGAAAATATGCAAGGAGACCCCAGAGAATGAGAGCTCATGAGGGATCATAGAAAGGGTGATTAAGAAAACAAAATGTAGGATGAGGTCTTAGAAAATTATTCTGCAATGGTAATATTTTATGCTTGTATTAACCTAGCAACACACTATAAATTAAGCTCCTTTTCCCTACTCCCATCTGTAATTGATTTTTACATAGAGCTGGGTTAATTTTGTTTAAATGCCAATATCATCATATCACTACTGCTGCTCAAAGGTCTCTACAGAACCCCAGTAACCACACACCTCATGTTTTGTGACTAACCTTGGGATTTAGGTGAAATCCTATGGTTATCTTTTCCTATGAAACCATCTACATGCTTCAGTACAGAGAATTCTTCATTTCTCAGAGGTCTGTGAACTTGAGGCTACATATTAAGGGATTTTCCATACATCTTCTGACTTTCTTATTTTCAACAGTCTAAAAAAAGTATCATTTTTTTTTTTTGAGACAAGGTCTCACTCTGTCACCTAGGTTGAAGTGCAACAGTGCAAACATATCTTGTTACAGCCTAGAACTCCTAGGCTCAAGCGATCCTCCCACCTCAGTCTCCCAATAGCTAGAACTACAGGTACATGGTATCACACCTGGCTACTTTCAAAATTTTTTATATAGAGGTGAGGCTTCCCTATGCTCACCAGGCTGCACTAGAACTCCTGGTGTTAAGTGCCTTGGCTTTCCAAAGTGCTACCACACCCAGCCAAAGTGCCACTTCTTAATGGGGATTTTCTATTTCCCTTTTGGGAGAAACTAATTTGTAATGATATGTAGGTTGGTATCATTATTATTAACCACATTCTTATTTACTGTCACATGAGCAACTTTATTACTTCATGAGCTGAAATATAAGCTTTGGAGAAGAAATGAATTTGCTTTAAAAATTGTTGCTAAGTCATTTAACATATATGTGGGAATCCTGGGAATATATAAGAAGTTCTCAGAATAAATATAAAGACATTTGTATGAAGAAATGATACTGAGAGAAAACCTTACAGAAAAAGTGATATCAAGAAAGGACAAAGAAGAAAGTGCTTTCTTTCCTATCTTATCCATAGCAAAATATTGACTAATCCAATGCTTCCTAAGCAGTTATCTATTATACAGCAAACATTAGTGGCATCAAGTTAATGAATGACAGTGTTGTTCTTGAGAAATTTAGAAAATAATTAGAAAGATAGGACCACAAAGAATTAATTTGAGAAGAAAATACAAAACATACAAGTGTAAGCCCGTGTGTTAAAAGGTAAAATTGGTATAAAAGTTCAATTATGGAAGAGATAAAATCTACTACAAAAGTCAGGAAAGGTGTTAACAAGTTTCCTAAACTAGGTCATTCTGATATCAGGAATACCCAGTATCTTGATCAGCTTGGCTTGCTATATATCAAAATACAGTCTGAGTCATTAACAATGGTGATATATTCTGAAAAATGCATCAATAGGCAATTTCATCATTATGCAATTATAGAATGAACTTACACAAACCTAGATGGTATAGCCTACTATACACCTAGGCTATAAAATTGCTCCTATGCTATATACTTGTATAGCAACTGTAACACAATGGTAATTATTTACTGTATATAAACATATCTTTACATAGAAAAGGTAAAATGCCATATAAAAGATTAAAAAGAATGTTACACATATACAGGGTCATAGCTATTATATCAAAATTCAAGAATATTCAGTAAAATGTCCTTGTAATGAATGCACAGTCTCAGTAGAGAAACAAGCTACATAAAGAACCAAATGAATATTTTAGAATTTAAAAAAATACAACAGTTAAAATATATAAACTTGTTAGATGGGCTTATCAAAACATTGAAGATAAAGACAATCAGTGAATTTGATTATAAATCAATAAAAATTGTCCAATCTGAGAAACAAGAACAAAGATTTGTAAAAGTGAACCAATGCTTAATTACCTAGGGCACAATTATCAAAGGAGCTAACATAGGTGTAACTGAGGTCCCAAACAGAAGAGAGTCATATATGTAATCTGCTGTTGACTGAAATGCTGTTAAGTGGAGAATTACTGCCATAAACTGGGTAGCTTATAAAAAACAAAAACATCCCTTACAGATCTGGAGCTGGGAAGTCCATGATCAAGGAAGAGGCAGATTTGGTATCTAATGAGAGGTCAAATGAACCAAATCACCTATGGCTTTTCTTACATAGACAGACTGAAGAAAGTAATACTAAACAGAGAACAGAAAGCCAAGTCCATCATTTACTGCTCTCTCACATTTACCTTCTTGTCACATGAAGATCATCTTCAATTCCAATCTCCTATGAAGAGCCCTGTAAAATTTCCTGGCTTTTCTCAACACAGACACTGAGATATCTTACTCACTTAATATTTAAATCTATACTTTGACTTAGCTTATCAGATTTACACTTATCAGATTTACAGCTTTTTCCCTTTTCCCTTCTCCACTTGTTCTTCATATGGGCAATTGTTACTTCTTATCGGGAAAGCTTTCTGTTTCTCTGTTTAAGGTAGATGGTACCTTCTAACATACCCAAAGAATAAAGTGCTTTTAAACAGGGCTAATATTTGGATATAGGAGTCCCCCCTTATCTGCAGGGGACACATTCCAAGACCCCAGTGGATGTCAGAAACCTCAGATAGTACCAAACCCTATATATACTATATGTGACAGTACATCTGATAACCCATGTGGCCACTAAGGTAACTAGTGGGCAGGTAGGGTATATAGCATGGATGCACTGGACTCACAACCTGGTGTGATAAAGCTGAAAGGTGCAAGCTTTCATAAGCTACTCAGAATAGTGTGTAATTTAAAATGTATGAATTGTTTTTTTTGGAATTTTCCATTTAATATTTTTCACTTCTGGTTGACCATGGGAAAGTAAAACCTCTAATAAGAGAGAATGGGCTACTGTATTTGGAGAACATGGGAAGTCTAGAACTCAAATTATCCCAACATGTAAAGATCAAATGCTGTTAGAGAAACGGAGGGAGAGAATCTAAACACGGCCTTGGCTTTGTGAACTTTGATTTCAGTGGGAGAGGCAGAAAATAAGCATGCAAACAATAAACAAGTTAACTGGCTGGGTACAGTGGCTTACTCCGATAATCCCAGCACTTTGGGAGGCTGAGGCAGGAGGACTGTTTGAATACAGGAGTTCAAGACCTGCCTGGGCAGCATAGCAAGTCATGATCTCTACAAAATAAAAAAAAAAATTAGCCAGGCATGGTAGCACATGCCTGTAGTTCCAGCTACTCAGGAGGCTGAGGTGAGAGGATCACTTGAGCCCAGGAGTTCAAGGCTGCAATGAGTTGTGATACTGATACTGTACTCCAGCCCTGAGTGACAGAGTGAGACACTGACTCAAAAAAATGTTAATTATACATTCAGCTGAATATTAGGAAGAAAGTAAACAGTGGCTTGGTGGATAATTAATTGGGTAGGGACAAGGAATGTTCATTAGATAAGGTAGTTACGAAAGGTCTCTAATTGATTATTTTTTTTAATCTCTGGCCTGATAATCAGGCATGGACAAAGCCAAGATTGGAGAATTCTGGGGAGGAAATAGGAAATGCCAAAGCCCAAGTCAGTAAAGGGCTTGGTGAGTTCAAAAAAGGTGGCCCATGGGCTAGAGCAGTACTTGTTGAAATTTATGTTTGTCAGGCGCATCAGGGAGGTGGGAGTAAAAGGATGACACTGTCTGCGGCCCAAAGGAAACTGGACTTGGAACTCAGACTGCCTCTGAAGCATCTAGGCCCCCAGGGCTGGGGAATTCAGTATCTTGGCACACCTGCAACTCAACTGAAGTTAACCTAGGTACCTCACATAATTTTACAAACTGGGGACTAAAGTATAATGAAAAAGCAAAAAGTAATAAAGAATGAGGTTAGAGAAGTAAAAGGGGCTAGTCACATAGAGGTTGACAAGGCTTAGATTTTTCCTATGTGGTGGGGCACATTAAGATTTGCAAGTAGCAACTAATTTGGGAGTTAGGAAAATATTTAAAAACACTGAAGCTTATGTAATTCTATATGGCAAAGAAAAAGAGGGAATGATAAGGAACTAGATAAAGATTTCTGCAAAACAAGTTAACACAGAGAAGACAGACAAGTAGAGGAGAAGACATCTGGGGGACCCATGTTAAGTACTTAAGTTTCAGTTTTCTCCCCAAGCCCGTAAAGGCTTAGAAAGTGTTTCTAAGAAATGTAAGGAAGTATCATCTTTGAAAACAGCAGAGCCATTATGTCAAAATGATTTCCCTATCTGGTTCTTCCACACTCACCTGAGAATGGGCTTCTTGTCATCTCACTCTTTACTTCCCAAGGCTCTTTCCCTTGCTCCAGTAAGGAGATCACATATGGTTTAGAAATGCAAAGTCCTGTATATTAAAACAAACAAACAAACAAAGACATGAAAGCCGGTCATATTTTGGGTTATTTCAGAACTATAAAGCAGATCTTTAATTCTGATGGAATGCTATTATAGGAATGACTAAATAAGAAATAAAGCAGACTTGAAGGACAGACTACAATAAATTCTGGAATAGTCTAGTGGGACTGCCAACAATCAATTCTATAAAAGTTAAATTATTTTCTGAGAGGCTGGAGAGCAGAAATTAAGCCTCACATTTTCTGTGGTATTTTGAAAGGCCTTTAACTGCAGAGTTTGAAGTTTGCATTAACTGCGTGCGTTAAAAAGGGAAAGTCAATACTCTTGGAAGGAATATGACAATCTGGAGGCCAACTTTTTTTTTTTTGAGTCGGAGTCTCAATCTATCCTTGAGTGCAGTGGCATGATCACAACCACTGCTGCCTCGACCTGCTGGGCACAGGTGATTCTTCTGCCTCAGCCTTCCAAGTAGCTGGAACTACAGGCACATGTCACCACACCTGGCTAATTTTTAAATTTATTGTAGAGACAAATTCTTGCCAAGATGCCAAGTTTGGTCTTGAACCTCTGAGTTCAGGCAATCCTCTCACCTCCCAAAGTGCTGGGATTACAGGTATGAGCCACTGTGCACAGCCTATAAAGTTTTATTTACGGTGTCCATGATAAAATCCAAAATTACTGGACATAAGAAAAGGAAAAAGCGAATCGTACTTAGAAGATAAAGCAATTAGTGGACACCCAGCCTGCAATAATAGATACTGGAATTAGCACACAAGGATTCTAAAACAGCGATTATATCAATACTCAAGAATGTAAAGAAAATATTCTTGTAATGAATGCACAAACAGGTAATAGCAGCAGAGAAACAAACTATAAAAAGAAACAAATATATATTCTAGAATTTAAAAAACACAGTATCTGAAATTTACAAACTTACTAGATGGGCTTAACAAAACACTGAAGAAGATAAGGATAGTCAGTTAATTTAAATGCAAATCAATAGAAATGATCAAATCTGAGAAACGAAGAACAAAAATCTGTAAAAGTGAACCAATCCTTAGTTACTTAAGGCACAAAATAAAGCATCTAGCATAAAATTTCAAAACATCAGAAAAAATATTTGAAGAAATAATGGCCAAAAATTTCCCAAATTTGGTTTGATATAAATTTAGTTTCAAGAAGCTCAATGAACCACAAGCATGATAAAAAGGGCTTCTAGAGAACAGAAAGTTAGTCTACCAGGGAGGTAGCCCAGTGCTTTGAAGAAAGTCTATGTTAGTGTTCCTAAAAGTGAGCATCTGAATTTACCTATTACAAGTTAAATTCGGAAATAACCCAAAATATGGCCAACTTTCATGTCTTTTTTTGTTTGTTTGTTTTAATATACAAGTTAACAAAAGATACAGATTTTTAAAATGATATTCCGAGTTTATGGCAATCTAGCTATATTCTTGGTAAACCTTGTTAATGCCTAGTGGTGATAACAATAATTCTCTGTAATAGAGAGAACAGGGTAACACAGGAGACTGGGATTGGCACTGTATCTTATGTTCCCAATTGCCTGAAGGTTGTATCCATGGGATATTTGATACACATCAAATTGACTGACGCTAAATATGAAGTTTTCTTCAATCTCTGAATATCCCCTTTGTTTCTCAGATTCCATTCTGTCCTATACACAATAAAAGCAGTTTTAATAACAAATAAAAACACATAGGTTCCTTGAGGGCAGATTCTGAATTATGCAGGAAGAAAAAAGATCCTCACCCAATGATTCCAGGCACTGATAATTCTCCAACATCATACCCCTGTATAAACGCTTCTGAGCAGGGTTCATCCATTGCCATTCCTCCTTTGAAAAGTCTATTGCTACATCCTTGAAAGTCACCAAGTCCTGAAATGACAAAAATACATTCTTAACCAACCAATGCTCATGTCCACAGATGACTCCAAGTTGAAGTGTATAACATGAGAAATAGTCCATAGAAGAGAAAAAACATAAAAGTATTAAAGTGTCACAGTGCATTTTATAATGATGCCAATTCATTTTCAGTATGAGAAAATGTGGGTAAGTACAGAGCAGTAAACAGGCTCCAAGGAAGGACATATGCCTGTGATTGAATCTTCAAAAATGTAGCTAAAAGAATATCAAAATAGTTATTTTTCAAATGATACTCAATGGGATCACAGTGTTTTTCTGGGGGGGACAGGGGGAAGAGATTGAACTGATATGGCTTTTTTTTCTTAAACAATAAAAACACATTTAGAATGTAGTTTTCTTACACTATATGCCATTAAAAACTGGCATGCCAAAATTGAGCTGTGAAGTAATGTAAGAGATCACTCAGTGTAAGAATGCAACACACCCAACTTGTATATTGCGTCTCAGTACAAGAAGTATAAATTGTCCCAGGGTGTCCACAGGGGATTGGTTCCAGGACACCATATGGCCCTTGGATACCAAAATCCATGGATGTCAAGTCAGGCAGTGGGTCCTCGTATCTGTGCATTCCACATCAATGAACACTGTATTTTCCATTGTTTGGCTGAATGCTTAATTTCAAAACAAAACAAAATCGAAGTTACAACTTTTAAATGTTGCTAAGAGAAAAATTAATGCTCAGTTATAATCACCAGCAAGTTATAAGGAATTACAAAATTTTTTCATCTTCAGATTTATTTCTACTAAAAATAAATATCTCCTTAATCTTGGTGCTTGATTTGCAAAGTTACCAAAAATATAAATATACCTATAAAGACAAAGCTATGAGTACATTTCTATAGCTTTTAAGCAAAATTCCAGCACTTTGGGAGGCAGAGGAGAGGACTGCCTGAGCCCAGGGGTTCAAAACCAGCCTGGGCAACTTGGCAAGACCTCGTCTCTACAATAAATTAAAAAAAAATTAGTCAGGTGTGGTGGCATGTGCCTGTAGTTCCAGTCACTTGGAAGGCTGAAGCAGAAGGATCATCTGAGCCCAGCAGGTAGAGACTGTGGTGGCCATAAGCGTGCTACTGCACTCCAGCCTGGGCGACAGAGTGAGACTCTGACTCAAAAAACCAAACAAAACACAAAACAATAATTGTAACATGCCTCTGTTCTAAAGATTACTGTTTAAAAGCAAATTTTTTAAAAAAGAGATACTCAATGTGTAGGACATTAGAAGATACACACACTTTTAAAAATATTTATTATATTTTTCATATAAATTGTTTTAAGTTTCTAATTTTCCTGAATTTTAGTTTTCACTTTCTAGTTAGCTGAGAACTAAGAACCATCATTTCACATATTCTTATAAAACTAAATGAGATGAATTTCTCATTGTAAGCAAAAAGTCGTCACATTCTTTCAAATATTTGGGAGAATTTGGTGACTATTAAAGAAATAGGTGTTTTGGCTATTCCCATGGAGAATCAAATTTGATTGCTTTTGATCTTGGTACTCATAGTTAACAGTTTGGTATGTATATACCAGACTTTTGCCAATTTGTATATGGATAGATTTATGTATGTATATCCAGTGATTTTTTTTTGCTAATTATCCTGTAATCAGTTCAGTAAATTCCAATTGATAGCACCTAAAGAACTTATAATTCTTTTTGCTTTTTAAGAAAAGCATTTATTACAAGGTATCAGGTAATTTATGGGATTTCCAGGAGAGCTAAGGAACTAGGTTTGGATGCTACACAATCAGAAGAAAAGCCTGATTATACCAAGATATTTTTTGTCAAAAACCCCATTCTTCAGCATTACTCACAGCTGAGCACCTAACATGCTAGGATCTGACCAACAGAGTTGTTCCCAAAAGAACCAAACTCCTTTACCAATATGCTGACCATAAAATCCTGTTTCCCTATACACAGCCTCTGCTTCCTTTTGCTGACTTCTGCCTTCCCATCTTGTATTGGAAGACTTTTCTTGGGGTTATATTAATCATATATAGAACCTTATTTGCAAAAAGTCTGGATAATGCAGTTTTTACACGGGGAGGGAGTTGAAGTGGGTATTGAATGTGAGAATCTGAAGGACGGGCCTTAATATGCATCCTCACCCAGCTAAAAAGGTAATCTAAAATTTATCTGGGGAAAACCCCAAACTGATTAATGTGACATAATTATTTCCTTCATGAGAAAATATTTTAGCCTTGGGAAGATATGGAATTGAGAACAAACATTAGCCAGGTTTGTTTTGGTTGACATTTATTAAAGCTGAGTGATGACACAAGGGAAAAGGAGAAATTTCATTCAACTAGTCTCTCTACTTTTATATTTGTTGGAAATTTTCCATTTAAAAAGTGACCAAAAAAAGAGAATGAAATAAAAACAAAAAAGTAACAAATTTTTGAAACACTGACCTGAAGTAAATCAAAACCTAATATGAAGAGCATATAATGCAATGATTTTTAAAAGCACATGATTAAAACACACAAATATATAAAGCAAACAGAAATACATTAAAAATGGGCTGAGCTTAACAAACCACACAGAATCAGACATATCTAGGAGGCAAAAAGAAAAAAAGGCCAAAGCATACGTGAATAACATTAGCAAACTTCATTTAACTCTTTGCACTCAGAGACATCTCATGGATCACCTACCAGCAATCTGACTGTACTTTTTGACAAAATAGTAAAAAATGAATCACTTCAAATTAAATAGCATGCGTTGGAACTAATTATCTTATTAGTCAATGATATTTGGCTTATAATGGAATTCTGGACATTGAGGAACTTATTTATGACAACAAAATCAAAATTTCATATCTTATATTTGTCTAACACATGGTATGTGTGAAACAGTCACTGGTATGCACTGCAGGTTCATGAATACATGTTGTGCAATAATAATTTGTTTGACCTCTTCCACCTAGTATTTTTCTATTACAGCAGACAATGCAATCTCATTTTCTTCCTCCCACATTAATGAATATGTCATTCAACGTCCAGTCTGTTGTTCAAAGGCAATGTGGAAGGATGCACCTTTGATTCCTGAAAACCACTTCTCAACTGCTCGATCATAGCTCAGTATATATTTCATCTCTTTATTTGCTTTTTTGTGCAATTTGAATGATAAACTTCAAAGAAACATACCTTTTTGAAAAAATCGCACTTGTATAAGTTTCTCCTGTATAATCACCAGCAATCTCTTTATGTCCTCTGAATCTGAGTGGCTTGCTAGATTTACAATGTCCCCTCAGAGGGGATATCCAAATGCAAAGTGTTAATTTACAATCAACTTTATTGCCACTTTTTGGATATAAATGTGGAAGACATGTAATAATTGATCATATACTACACCAACAAAAGTCTTAACAAATTTTAAAGCCTAGACTTTCAGTCTGGATTCAGTCTAGACTGCTCACGATTCAGTGCAATTAAAAACTATAAAAACTAATTTAAAATCTTATTTGAAAATTAAAATAAGTAGCCAACAGATAACAAAAATTAAGTCAGTAAAATACACAATACAAATATTGGAAGATATAAAAAAATGGGACCCCTCATGCACCACTGCTAAGAATGTACAATGGCACAGGCACTTTGATACTAAATGAGATGAAAATCAGCTTGGCAGTTTCCTAAAGAATTAAATATAAATTTCACATATGATCCAGCAATTCTACTTCTAGGTTAATCTACCCAAGAAAAAAGAAAACATCTGACCAAAGAGACTTCTACTTACATGTTCATAGCAGCATTACACTAATAGCCAAAAAATGAAATCAACATAAATGTATATCACCTGATGAATGGATAAAGAAAATGTCATGCACCTTTCAATGAAAAACTATTCAGTAGTAAAAAAAAAAAAAAAAAAATGGAAAAAGAGGAATGAAATGTTAGAACATGCTATAAAATGAATAAAACTCAAATATATTATAATAAAGGAAAGAAGTCAGACATAAAAGACTACATACAGCATCATTCCATTAATATGAAACTTCCAGAGAATTGAAATCTATTGACAGAAAGCAGATTAGTGGCTTCCTAGGGCTGGGAGTAGATTAACTGTAAATGGGTACAAGGGATCTTACTGAGGTGATGAGAATGCTTGGGAATGTTCTAAAACTAGATAATTACCATGGTTACACAATTCAGTAAATTTACTAGAGGTCATGGGACTGTATACTTCAAATTGACTTTTATGGTATATAAATGATAAGTTGATTTTAAAAAAGAAATCTAGAATTATAAATGATCTGAAAAGCAATGAAAAAGAAGCATTGCTACAAGTATTCAATATTATTGTTTTAGAAGATCTACATTTTAGAGATACACATAAAAATTTTTTTCTGTTAAATATTGAAAAAGGGGCCAGGCTCAGTGGCTCAGCCTGTAATCCCAGCACTTTGGGAGGCCAAGGCAAGTGGACTGCCTGAGTCCGCGGGTTCGAGACCAGTCAGAGCAATTTGGCGAGATCTCATCTCTACAATAAATAGAAAATCAGTCAGGCATGGTAGTGCGCGCCTGTAGTCCCAGTACTTGGAAGGCTAAGGTGGAAGGATTGCCAGAGCCTAGCCAGTCGACACTGGGGTGGCCATGAGTGTGCCACTGCACTCCAGCCTGGGTGACAGTGTGAGACTCCAACTCAAAAAAAATTCCAGGGGGAGGATAGCAGCTGAGCCAGTTGGACTATGCGAATCCCAGTGTGAGCAAGTAAGTATGGAAAATTTTGTGTACGTGCTGGTGAGCAAGTGGGCGTGTGAGTGGCTGGTTGAGTGAGGGCTAAGGAGTTGGCGGCCAGGGCTCTCCTGATGCAGCGGCTGGTGGCACAGTTGCTGGGCTTGGACCCCAGCGATTCCCGGGACACAGAAGCCTAGAGCCATTTTCTTTCTTTTCTTCTCTTTCTTTCCTCTTTCTTTTCTTTTCTTCCTTCCTTCCTTCCTCCCTCCTCCCTT